ATATGCTGAGACTTGCTCAGAGCGTAGAGTCTGCTGACTAGTCTCAGTATTGTATTATTTATGCAGAAACATTTTGTTTAGCACCTCAAAGAGAACGCAACCAAGTCTCACACAATGCATACAATATCGTAAAACAATAGCGAGCGCTATCTGTCCCCACGATGAGCTGAAGCGCATGTGTCTAATTATTTTAAACAAATAAGAATCAACCTACCAGCAGCATTGCACAGATTGCGTATAACGTCATAAAGGCACAGCCTTCCAGCAGACAGGACGACCTCAGTACCGCGTTAGTGAGACATTCATATGAACCGTCGAAACATATGCTCCACGCTGGATATTGATGTGCTTCTGTAGTTCTTATCAGTTCAGCTAATCTCCCTAGGAGAAATGAAATAGGCCAGATTCTCGCGATACAGGGACGACAAGCGCCTAGTCGGTCTCCTCCACGGTGGGCCCGGCCGCCTGCTGTCCGCCGCCCTGCGCCAGCTTGGTCATGATCGGACGACACTTGTCCTCCAGCTCCTTGTACTGGTGCTCGAACTCGTCCTTCTCGGCCAGCGAGTTCTCGTCGAGCCACTTGAGCGTGGCGGCCACGGCGTCCTTCACCAGCTGACGGTCCGCGTCGCTGACCTTGGCGCCAGCCTCGTCCACAGCCTGGCGGACCGAGAACGCGTACGCCTCGAGACGGTTGCGTGCGGCGACACGCTCCCTCTGCTTCTCGTCCTCTTCGCGGTACTTCTCCGCCTCGGCAAGCATCCGCTCGATCTCGGCCTTGCTGAGGCGGCCCTTGTCGTTGGTGATGGTGATCTTGTTGGTGCGTCCGGTGGACTTGTCTTCGGCGGAGACGTTCAGAATACCATTGGAGTCGATGTCGAAGGTGACCTCGATCTGAGGCACTCCACGAGGCGCCGGCGGGATGCCGGTGAGCTCAAACTTTCCCAGCAGGTTGTTGTCCTTGGTCATGGCGCGTTCGCCCTCGTATACCTGAATGCTGACTGCCGGCTGGTTGTCGGAGTACGTGGTGAACGTCTGTTGCTGCTTGCACGGGATGCGACTGTTGCGCTCGATCAGCTTGGTCATGACGCCGCCGGCCGTCTCGATGCCGAGCGAGAGTGGCGCCACGTCCACCAGCAGCACGTCCTGGATGGCAGAGCTGGTGTCTCCAGACAGGATGGCTGCCTGCACGGCAGCGCCGTACGCCACAGCCTCGTCCGGGTTGATGCTGAGGTTTAGCTGCTTACCGTTGAAGAAGTCCTGAAGAAGCTTCTGGATCTTGGGAATGCGTGTCGAGCCACCAACCATGACAATCTCGTGGATGGCTGACTTATCCAGCTTGGCGTCCCGCAGCGACTTCTCCACTGGCTCCAGTGTGCTGCGGAAGAGCTCACTGTTCAGCTCTTCGAATCGCGCCCTCGTCACCTTGGTGTAGAAGTCGATGCCCTCGAAGAGCGCATCGATCTCGATGTTGGCCTCGGTGCTGCTGGAAAGGGTGCGTTTCGCCCGTTCACAGGCGGTACGCAGGCGGCGAATGGCACGTGCGTTGCCCGACATGTCTTTTTTGTGCTTCCGCTTGAACTCTTGCACGAGATGGTCAACAAGCTTGTTATCAAAGTCCTCGCCGCCTAAGTGCGTGTCTCCAGCCGTTGACTTGACCTCAAACATGGAGCCGTCGGCGATGCTTAGGATGGAGACGTCGAACGTGCCGCCGCCCAGGTCATAGATAAGGACGTTCTTCTCGCCGCTGAGCTTCTTGTCAAGGCCGTAGGCGAGCGCGGCCGCCGTCGGCTCGTTGATGATGCGGATGACATTCAGACCAGTGATCATGCCGGCGTCTTTGGTGGCCTGGCGCTGGGAGTCGTTAAAATAGGCCGGCACCGTGATGACAGCGTCTTTGATGGACGTGCCAAGATACGCCTCGGCCGTCTCCTTCATCTTGGTTAGCACCATCGAGCTGATCTCCTCGGGCGTGAACCGCTTCATCTCTCCTTTGTACTCTACCTCAATCTTGGGCTTACCAGTCTCGTTGACGACCTTGAAAGGCCAGTTCTTCATATCCTGCTGGATCTTGGGGTCGTCGTAGCGGCGGCCGATAAGCCGCTTAGCGTCGAACACGGTGTTCTTGGGGTTCATGGCCACCTGACCCTTGGCGGCGTCTCCGATCAGCCGCTCCGTGTCTGTGAAGCCCACGTAGCTGGGCGTGGTGCGGTTGCCCTGGTCGTTCGCGATGATCTCCACCTTGCCATGTTGAAACACTGCCACACATGAGTAAGTGGTGCCCAGGTCAATACCAATCGCCGTCGATTTTGCCATTGTGAAAGACTGTGCGTCGTTAGACTACTCAACTTTCCAATCAAGCTACCCGAAGCACGCTGCAGTACACACTCAGACGAAGGTAGCACTCAGGTGCAGCTCACTAGACCTACTGACGCTCGTCGGTTTCAACAAGCGCTAGTTTATACCTCACCACCGTTTTGGAACAGTGACGTCCAGATTCTAGCAGGTTCACCGATGACGTACCGACTTATCCGATTTCTCATTGGCTGCCGTCCGGTGGGTGTGACGTCATCCTCCGGCCGCCTGGATCTCTGGTGGCTATTTCTGTGCTCGACCGTTCGGTTGGGGACGGGTGGGCGTGCCAAGGGGTGTCCGTGCCGCGCTGAGTCAGACGGAGACGGAGCACACGTGAGTGACGTGGAATCTGGAAGCATCAACAAGACACCGCCGGTCGCTCGCCATATAGGGAAAAGAAGCTTCCACGCTACACCCCCTACATAGAACTGCCGCCGTCTTGCAACGTGCCCTGCGTTTGGAGATGAATTTATTAATTGGATGCACTTGTCTTCAAAACCTTACGATACTTCTTTTCATGTAATAATGCAATATGATTGGACTGCACTGTACTTTTAGAAACTTGGTAGGTATATACATTAAAGAACAGAGCAGCTTCAGTTGTAATGCGGGATCTATATATTTTCTGCGTACGATATTCGGATTGCGCAATTTCGAAATTGGCCATCAAGAGAGTGCAAGGAAAATGAGCTAATAGTCTGAAATTTCGGCTGCTGATGAAAACTGTGCTTTTATGACAACGTAAAAAATGAATGTGCATCAAAAGCCGCCTTTTATTTTGAAAGACCAAACATTAGCCCTCGCGGGCCCGGGGGGCCCCCCGGGCCCCCCGTAGTTTTTCGCCCCCCCCTGGCGAATATTTGCGATAGCTCCCGAACGCTTAGGGATAGGAAAGCGAAACTTTCAGTACCTTTTCTCCCATCAATTTGACATCTTCTGAAGTAAAAAATTTGGACCTAGTCCCATTGATGACGTCAGAAGGTCCAATTTGCTAGACCCCTGCACGGCAAACTTCGGCGTCACAGACGCAAACTTCAAATAGCTGCTAAAAATAGAGTTTTAGAGATAAAGACAAATTACGAGCACGGTTGTGTAGCGTTTGACCTAGAGAAAAATAGAAAAATAGTTTTGGCGACCTGAGGTCAGAGGTCAGGTCAACGACCCCGAAATGTGGTTTTAGTTTTTCGCAAATAACTTCGACAAAAAAAGGTCCTAGAGCTACGGCAATGGAACCATCGCATTCGCCTTGTCAAGCCGCGTCGAATGATGTATATTTTGTTCGTAAAAGGTCAAGTTTTATGTTGACCTCATGTGACCTCGAATGACCTCTGGTTGACCTTGACACATGAGAGGTCAATTATGATGTATTTGTACCCGCTGATCACGAATCTGGCATCTATTTTTCTCTAAGCCTTCATTTAGAGCTTCTGGACGGCAAAATTGTCTTATTTATTATTACTACCTTGAATCAGTGAAATAGCCTCTAGCAGGGATACTCTTCTGTGACCTTGACCTTTGAGCAGCCCTGTATCGTAAGATGAGCCACAAATAGTGAACTGATTAGCCTCAAAACATTTCAAAACATCTTGGAAGCTAGCACGCAAGATGGGCGAAAAAGTGCCAAGTTTGAGGTCAATTTTGAGCGTGACCTTGACCTTGACCTTTAATTTTAAGCACATTTTCGGAATCCTCAGATTCTCTTCTTTCGTTTGACACCCAATTTGGCCCGGTTTGATGCAGCCTGCCGTCCTCTAGAAGGCTTATTTTGAGATCACTACACATGTGCCGGTTTTTGCATTTGACCTTGACCTCTGACCTTGAAAATTGACCTGAGGTAAAAAATTTTAGGTGCTTTAGAATCGTCACGTAAGGACCTTTCGTTTGGTATCGCTTTTGTTTCCGTAGCTCCCTTATTTACGGAGTTAGACAGGGGGGGGGGGGCGAAAAACGCCCCCCCCCCGGGCTGTGGTGGTTGGGATTACCCCCCGGGCCCGGCCAGGTTAGTGAAATAAATGCATGTCTAATACATCTAAAGTATACAATACATATAATACATTGTATATTGCATTGCGCTATACATAGTGAAAGCAAAAGATACGTGGGGCTTGTGGCTCTACTCTTTTCTCAATGGACAAGAAATTAATTATAATGTTCCTATTTATTACTTAAAGTGACCATCCCACCTTAACATTAGTTTTTAGCTGAGATAGCCAAATTGGTGGCCATGGCCTGAAAATACCGGTTTGGGCACTCACAACATCGAAAAATGCTTTAATTCGGAGATATGGAATTTCAAACTTGCAGTTTTCGGATTCTAAGGGGCTAAAGCATTGGTATGCCCCCTTAGAATTTGTGACGTCAGCAGAGATCTAACGATTTTTAAATCTTTCACTAAAACGTTTGGTAGCACGCGGTGGTATATGCTGCTTTGCGCGCAACAAATGCCGCACTTTCAAATAAAGTCGCTAGTAACAGCGGAGATCCCAAAAAGTAAACAAAAGTAAAAGTCTAATATCTAGAAAACCGGTGAATATTTTTCGATGAAATTTGGTAGATATTGGTTTTCGCTCTTTCTGAACCGAGCGACATCACTTTCATGCCAATTCATTAACTTTTTAGAAGGTGGGAGGGTCCCTTTAAGCTAAAAGCCAATGTCAACAAAATGCATGGAAAACCCATATAGCTTGCAAATCAAGGCATATAGGCTGCATTCTCATAGGAACGAATGTGTGCACTACAAGAATGCGGCGTGCTGACGCCGTTCAAATTGCCCGGCGGGCTGGGGCTGAGTCAGCCTGGAGCCGTCTGCGAGCTAAACTCCGTAAACCAGGGGCGGACACATCGCGTCTGGACAGACTGGCCAGTCGCCGGCCGGCACCTCTCGCGGACGGACCGCCGGTCCCCAGTTCCAGTCACAAGCAGACGGCCTGTCGGAGCCATGGTCCCTCCCCCGACAGTGACCATGTCCTGTGACCCGCTGCCGGTGATCGACCTGCGTCAGGCGGCCGGGCCGGGCCGAGCCCGGCTGGCCAGCCGACTCGTCGCCGCTCTGGAGACGGACGGCTTCTTCTACGTGGAAGGCATCGACGGTTACGACGAGCACGAGCTCATGTCGTACACCAGATGGTGAGGGAGGGCACGGAATGGATAAGAATTTCTAGGAGATTTACCTGACTCACAATATGTTAGATATATGAAATATCGATAAGATTACGCGCTGTGATCGGTCTCTTTATTTCCTTTTAACAATCAATTGCTTTCATCTGATCACATGCCCTTAGCGGCCATAGCGTATACTCTGTTTCACGTATATACTGCACTTACGGGAATATAGAAAAAGGGCTCTGCATATTTATGTATTCAGCAAGTCTGTTGTGTACTTGCTTAGCCAGGGGCTGACTATACCTTCCGAACGGTCGGTCGTAACTCATGGTCATAACACACCATTCCTCAGGTTCTTCAACCTACCAGATGATGTCAAGATGGGAATAGCTCGCAAGAAATTCAATGAAAAGACGAACTTCCTCTATCGTGGATATTTTCCCGTGGATAAAACAGACTCGTCTCACAAGGAAGGTAGGGAAATTGTGAAAAGTATTGATTTAACTAGAATGTTTGCATAATGTATCAAAATCTTTACGATAAAATACCGATTGCTGTAATAACCCTCGCCTGAAATGGTGTTTTGCCAGCCGCGGGCGCATAAGGGAAGGGGGGGGGGTCCGCTGGACACCCCTTGCCGTTTCGCCCCTGATCGAGCTAGAGCTTCGCGAAAAAAAAACGAGTGTGTTGTCCGTGACAAGAGAAAGCCGTTGATACCCAATTTTAAGGTCCTGGGTCATTGGTTGCCCTTCCAGATCAGGTCAATGACCCAAAAGTCGTGAAAATCGGGACCTGTTTGAACGTCCTAAAGTGTGGTTGCAACGCGGTTTTTCGGGGCGCTGATGACGAATATCATTTGAGCTTTGATCACCGATGATGTCTATATACATTTAGGCCAGGTCGGGTCAGGTCAGGTCAGGTCAGGTCAATTCGTAGTAGGTGTCAACCGCCTCTGACAGCTTCGTTACATGTTACGAAGACACCAGAACTACTTTGACAATGTGCAAAGGGTTGCTAAATTCAAATTCAGCTCTAAAAACTAGCCTTGAAACACGTAAAGCTCGAAAAAGTGAACCGAGGTCATCAAAGTTTATTGACCTGACCTGACCTTCAGGTGACCTTGACACCCACATTGATTCATGAGACCAACATCAAATCACATGTTTGAACGCTTGAAACCACGAAAAGACTGCAAACGCGCGGCTTATGCGAGCCGAGATACGCCGAATCGCGATTCCGGCCAAACATGGTCTTGAAAGGTAGGTTGCAGGTCAAAGGTCATTTAGGTCAGGGTCATGAAATTTAAAGGGCCGGTGTAAAATTGATTAACGCGAGGGAACTGAAAGATTCGTCGCGATCGACCGCTTTTTGCGCGAGTTATTTGGGAAAAACCGAGGGCCCCTTTCGACCCCTCTCCCCCTCCCCCTCCCCCTCCCCCTATAAGGGTGAAGGGTAAGGCAAGATACTAAAAGGCTACCTGAAAAGCATGTGTCAATGTATTTGTGTGCGCGCCAACATCGAGTAATAATATCGCGGCCCTAGGTGGCTGCACCGCAATTCAAGATTGCTCCGCGATTCAGTGCTTCGGGTCTCGTTATACTGAGAGATAAGGCTCCCTGGTGCGTAATTATGTTGTCACTTTACTGAGCTACGCAGATATGCGACAGGCCACGCCCACGGGACAGTCGTGTCACGAGTCCCGTCACTTTGAGAGTTTCCAAACCCCATTCCCACGCTCAGCTTCGTAGCATTGAGAAGCGACGTTCTTATATGAAACTTACCAACCAAATTAGATGGTTTATGCATAGCACCTTGTAAGTTGTAATTTAGTTGTATATGTTGTTAATTTACCAAACACTACCTATGATAAAGTTGACTACCTCTGACGGACAACGTGCCCATTGTAAATATTTGTAGTGTAGCTGCAAAACACGGTTGCAGGATACGATCTGGCATCTTTGGAGCCACTAAGCGACCCAGAGAAGGTCAAGGGGAATATATTCTACGAGCCTACTCCCTGGCCTGAGACCAGCGACACCGAGGGACTGCGAAAGTTTCAGGTTCGTTCGGAACTTCAGCATGTGTTTACGCTTACACACTCATGAGTCTACAGCCGTCTTCTCAGTAGCATTTTATGTTTCTGTCATTTAATTAATGATTTCGCGCTACCGCATGTCATGAGTTTAATGCACGTGCCTGCTGTCTGTCCGCCGTTTGTAGTTCAGTGTGCGGTTCTACCTTCTGTCTCAGTTCAGGGCGCGTCTCTGATGACTGTACTGCCGTCCGCCAGGAGTTTAGTGTGCGGTTCTACGGTCTGATGACGGCCGCGGGTATGACGCTGCTGGAGCTGGCCGCCGAGGGCTGCGGCGCCCCCTCCGACAAGCTGGTCAACCTGTTCCGGCCGGACCCGGTCTCCACGCTGCGCTACCTGCACTACCCGCCCCGGCAGGGCGACATCCCGGCCTCGGCCCGCGACCCCACAGACGGTGAGTCACTGGTAACAGTGGCCCCACAGAAGGTTAATTAACATATGGAGTGACTATATCCACATTAATTTGATAGAGGCGCTCGGCTTACAATATGTAGTCGATTCCCGCACCTGATGCCTCGTGAGCTGTTCTGACATTTTTAGCAATAGCGCTACGTCCTGATATCCAGCCTGGTTCGACCCTGACCGGGCTGACCCCCGGTTCGATCAGACGCCGTTCTGCTGTGCGCGGCGCACCACGACTCCGGCTTCGTCACCATGGTCTCCACGTTCGAGTACGAGGGTCTGGAGCTGCAGCGCGCCGACGGCTCCTGGATGCCGGTGCCGTGCAGGAGCGGCGCCGTGGTCGTCAACATCGGTGACATGCTCTCCACCATCTCCGGCGGCAAGTGGAAGGCCACCAACCATCGCGTCATTGACCACGGCGTCAACAGGTCAGTTAGCGCCGTCAGCCGCTATGGTCGTTTTCTTCTGGAACATAATCATGGCTGTCGATTGTTTTAGACAGGTGCATTATTATACAATGATGCAGGTTCTCAGTAAAATTACTCGACATGCGCACAGGTTCTCGACATTATCCTTCTACATACTGGCAGGTTCTCGGTGCCGTTCTTCCTGGAGCCGCGCTACACGGCCAACATGTCGGTGCGCCTGCCGTGCTCTGGTCAGGCGGAGCCGGCAGAGGTCAGCTACGGACCCTGGGCCATCACAAAGATGATCAACAACTTCTACGAGTTCAAGGACATTCCGTACCCCAAGTCGCTGGTGGCCGAATGAATCAGGCTTCAATAAGTGATGTGCTCTTTTGTTAGTGAAAACTAAAGGGCCATTATGATGGAAAGTGACAATGAAGTAACTATACACGTGCAATATTACCTGCTTGTTGGAGGTAATCAAGTAATGGTAAAATATGTACATCAAGATATAAGTTGTTGGCGGTTTGTCTGCAAGTGGTAGTTCAGTGAATTCAGAAGTTCTTACAAAGCATTTTGAGCATTTACTGAGGCATACGAGTAGAAGCATGCCAGCGTCTACTCGTCTTTTATCTTCCTTACTTCTTCGAATTTAGATTAGCTGCACCCACGCGTAAGCAGAGTACCAGGAATTTTTAAATGAATAGTATTTATTTTATGTTTCCTTTGTATTACCCACATAAAATTTTCATCTAGTAGCTCATTATATTCGAAATAATATGCAAACTGCACCCATCATTTCAAACATTTACAGATCCGGTAAGAGGTACAGAATACCTACATCGTGCTATGGATATTGTCAGAAAGATCCAAATCCAAATCTATAGACTGACATGTGCAAACTAGATATCCTGAGCTGGAAACAACTTTTTTCCATAGCGACGCACTAAATAACACTGCTTAGGAAGAACGAAAACGCGCATATACTAAGGGTACTCAGGTACATGCACTTAAAACCACTGATATCGTCATTGGACTTTGACCTTTAAGCCTATGATATTTGGTGGACGTCACGCAAGATGCCGACCGTGCCATTTGGTGTTATTTCCTATCACACCACTTCTATTTACGTTATCAGAGCACGTTTCTGAATCGCAGCTGATGCTCCCTAAGTGCACCTTTGGTCGACAGGTCACAGCAGCCAAAGTACAAGGTTTATTTGCGCATACTTGAACGTTGCTCCTCATCGGACCACAATTACGCCATGGCGCGGGCCGCGGGGTCGGCACGCGAGGCATGTGACTCCGGACGAGATCGTCACGACCTACAGCCGTCTGTTCGGAGGTGACGTGACGGAACCAGATATTATGCAGTGGGCATTGGTGTAAGCTTCAGTTTCCCCTGTCCTTTTACATCCCGTTGCTCATGACATATGCCTGTATTTAATGAAATATTGACACATTAGTTAGTTCCGACAAAATAGCATCCATGCAGTTCTTTTGCCATTTTCCTAAAGAGCGTGGTTGTTGATTTAAAGCTTTCTGATGACCTGCTGTGCGCCCTAGCCCCTACTGCATGATATTTCAATCTACATCACATCATACCTATGTGATCCTTGTTTAATGTTTTAATCCTTGTTTTGTAATCCTTGTTTTGCCTCCTCCATTTTCTACCGTCATCATCATCCAGTGATAATTCACAACGCGTCTTCGGCAGCGAGGACACAACACAGCACATTAAAAAACTATTTATGTTTGTTCATATATGTGTATTGTGTAGTAATTTTGAGAAGTAAGTCAGACTGCCTTTGTGTGTCCCTGGTCCTCTGCGTTTCCTTCTGTGTCTGGCAGCTGTATCTGGGGTCCGTCGAACCCTCTGAGGTGCTCCCGTTTTCTCTGCCGACGGGCCACCAGACACGGAATTGGCAGCAGCGACTGGCCCCTGCGACAAAGTAACATATGTCATCAAGTTTCTTTCCGTACAGGAAATTAGGAGAAACATGCCCGGTAAATGAAAAAAATTGGTTAGCTGACTTTCAAGTGGGTTTAGTGAGGCACTGCGCACCACAAATAAACTATTTTTGCTAACTACCTGTACCTACAATAATTTCAGTTTTGGGCAGCAAAATGCAGAAATATTTACCACTTTGCCGGTGATGGATAGGTACTTACCTACACCTGGCACTTACTTTCCGAAATCGATCGCTTCGGCTATGGTGACTGGCAGGTCCTGACCACTGGTCTCCGGCAACAGCATGGTCAGTCCAGCAGACACCAGACCGGTCACGCCGAATATACACAGTGGAAGGGTGGTGTCACCCTGACCCTGTATAAATAGTACATGAGATTGGTCAAAAGCGCACATTCATTATATAAAAATGGAATCGCGCTGATGTTGCATAAGTTCTTTATGATTGTTGTTTGCAAATTACGGAAGGCATATCCACGCAGATTATGATCTGCAGTTGTTAGAAAGCATTGGCCTGAGCTATTTTTCACGCGCCAGTCCTTTTTAAACACTAGTCCCTCCTAAACTAAAAACACGCTAGCTCTAACGACATATACAAAACGCCTTGAGTTGTCAATGAAAGAGAGCCACTCATTAATCGTTCTAATGCGTTCTGCCGCTCGTCAGCCGGAGCCGCAGCTGCCCTGCGGTCGCATCGCCGATGGCGCAGCGCTCACCAGGTCGGCGATGAAGGGTGCGATGATGGCGCCTAGTCGACCGGAGGTGGAGGCGAACCCGACGCCCTTGGCCCGCAGCGCGTCCGGGTACAGCTCGGCCGTGTACAGATACATGGTGGAGAAGGCCGAGGCGGCGCCGAACTTTCCCAGCAGAGCCAGCGTGGTTATCAGCCACTCCAGGTCGGCATCTGTGGCAAAAACCGACAGCGAAGATGTGAAGAAACAGACTGGGTCTTTTCATGGTCTCGCTGCCTAAGGTCCAGAGAGGTGATGGTTTTGCTTAGAGTACCTACGTGATAATTTAATGTTGTTCTTTATGAGAAAATGTCAACCTCAGCAGCTATGAACACCATGTACCCAGTGACACTCTGGGCGCCCCACCCCCTCACCATCTGGCACCACGGCGCAGAGGATCGTTCCCAGTCCTGTCAGTGCAAACGCGCCGCCAATCACCAGCTTTCGTCCCAGTCTGAAACGACACAGCACCCGCTGCTGTCACCGATCATAAAGTGCCGCTCCCATCAGCGTGACACGAGTCTGATGGAAGCCATGTGACGGCTCAGAGGCGAGCGGTAATGACAAGTTACAGCCGGTTGTGTCCAGTTTGATACTGGAGGGGTGACGTGGTACATGACTTATTCAATATGGATGCTTATTTATACACCTGATATTCATCAACACAGCAAGTTCTGGTCATGTTCAGAGATTGCTTGCAGCTCTCATGAAGCATGACTAGAAAAAATACGATTTATGAACCATCCGCCAAGAGGGTAGGCACGCAATTGCAATGGCTATCGTTCCGCAGGCCTCGACATCTAAGACGTGTTTACTCAGGCAGAAATCGGTAGGATTTGTGAGAAAAACATAAACTTTTAGTCCTTTTCTTACAGCAATTATCACTTTAATCAAAACCGCTTTTGGTGAAGAAGCACACAAGATATGAAGACGGGTGCCTGCTCACGGGTTGATGGTGAAGGCGCAGAAGAGGTAGGAGGGGATCTCGATGAGCATCGTCAGGATGAAGTTGACGTAGACGTCGCCGCCGAACTCGGTAGACACCATGCCGATGCCGTAGTAAACCAGAGTGACGACGAACCTGAGGACGCGTTTGTTAGTGAGCCTTTTTCACAACTGGTTATCTGGTGTTTGCACCAAACTCAACCAAATGAATCTCTTATACGGCAAATATCTTCAGTCTTCACGTTATGAATTTATCTCAATATTTCATTACATGAATCATTGCGCGAATTCGTTGCATTAATCCATTATGAAACACCATTTGACGTATAGATCAAATACAGAAAAGTACTTATGAGCGAAGAAGAATGCGTAAAACGCAAAGATAAACCGCATCAAGATGTTACCATTGCAGGCAAAGGATAATTGCTCGGAGACGAAGTACAGGAGATTTCATTGCGTCTAGGAAGCTTTCAGTAGTAGAAGGAGACTCTTCCGTGCTTTCGACGTTATTCTGAAAAAAAAGAAATGCAAGATGTTGTTAAACAGTTCCGTTCCGCAGAAGTTTTCTAAAATACTTCATCGGTTGTGACATTTTATTTTCATCATGCGGCGCGCCGAGCGTCATGTGAGTGGACCAGTTCAAAGTCAAACTGAATAACTGACTTCAGGTCAGCTGCACGATTAATTATCACCCTTTTAAGCAGCTCTTCAGGGAATGTAGTCCCGTTCCATTTCGCAATCTTCCTCAGCACTTGCTCTGCCTTCTTCGGTTGATTTGTAGCCATCAGCCATCGAGGAGACTCAGGAACAAGGCTGAAACAACCAAATGCACTGCAGAATTACATTATTCACCATTTCTTGGACACTGTAACATCGACCATAATATTTGTCATTTTTCATTTCATGGACCAAAATGACATCCGAGACACGATCGCAGCACCCACGCACAAACGTCTATCCCGCCTTTTGTTGGCTGCTATGCATCGATCATGACGGCGTATTTGTCCTCATCTAGCCACACCGACACTCTTGCACGACGTTCAAGTATCACATCCAGGTGACCGTTCCGCTCGGTCCCGTTTTTTTTTTTTTGCAGGCCGTTACGGAAGTGCCACCCCAATGTGGTAACTGGTATCCCAATAACTTACAACCAGTATGAGACAAAGATGAGTACGGGGACCGAGTAGATGAGCTGCAGTGACGTCCAGTCCTTGACAAATATCGGGAACACTCCAGACAGAGCCTCGCCGATGGCGAAGAATATGTTGATGATAATGCCGCAAAAGGCACGGACTTCTATCGACGTGAATTCTGTACCTGGAAGATGCCATCAGCAGACATTTTTTCATAATTGCATGTATTCTCTATATTGCTATACCTTTTGAGAAAATGAGAGAGAAACAAAAATCCTGTTGCTAGCAATTACTAAGAATTAATCTTCCACTTCTATTTTAGCGGTCAATGCACTATTCTTACTTATACGTAACGTTATTCATTTTTTTATGTTTTGCTTAGCCTATTGGAGGGTCCAAAATCGAAATGCCAGGTATCATAGGTCACATAGGGCTTATTCATGTCATTGATATAAAATATAATCTAAAATACTATTATGGATAACACCATCAAAGAAGAAACAGTGCTGACATTTTCTTTAAAGAAGAAAAACAAACTCTTGGATTGGAGGAACGCTTACACCAGACAAAGGCGACTCCGAACAGTCCGTACTGACAAATGGAGCTCAGAAACCTCATGGCCGTGAATGTGCCGTAGCTGGAGGCCAGGGCGCCGAGGCCGCCGAACAGACCCGTGCCGACGATGCTGCACATCAGAGCTATCATACGGCCGTACCTGGAGCGGGGATGGAGTAGCTACATCAGACGACATACGGCTGTATGTACCTGGAAATGGATGAACTGTCTACATACATCAGGTAACACAGGGGCTACTTGAGCTACGACGATGTGCATGCATCAGTCAGGAATCGTATCTGAGGCCATGCTACACAAAGTACCACATACAGCACTATATAGGTAAGAAGTATTTATGTGTGGTTTTGGTTTAGACACTTTCTGTCCAAGTGTCGTGGAATGATAGCATAAAGAGGTGCATAGGCCTATTTATAAATGCATAGTTACATATTCAGTGAACTATCGGATAAGATATAAATGATTCAGAATTGGAGAGTTCCTTCTCTCCATCTCCGATCAGGATTGATATCGGGAGAACAAAAGTGAATGATCAAGGAAAAAGACTGGAAAACGAAATAAAAAGAAACGAAGAAAAAGCATCATGCTGAAAACTGTTGCATATTTAATCCAGGTGATTTTATCCGTTTTACAGTGGACCCACCGATCGGCCACGAAGCCACTTATGACGGAGCCGAGCGCTGTGCCCACGAAGAACAGACTGCTGACCAGTGGCTGCAGCTTGGCACTGTCGCAGACCAGGTCAAACTGCAAACACAAGGAACATGTCAAACTGGGAACACACGCTCCAGGTCAAACTGGAAACACACACCAGCCAAACTGGAAACACACAGAACAAGTCAGACTGGAAACACAAAACACAGAGGATAGATAGAGACAGAAAAGCTAGCAACCAATGTTAGTTTTAAACAGAACGAGGCCAAATGGGGCTTTCAAAATAGCTGCAGTATCCCACCTCTGACACCACGGTGCTCTCCATGACGGACTTGTCGTACACCCAGCGGGAGCACGACTCGGTCTGGTTGGTGAAGAAGCTGGTGTTGGTGCAGCCTCCGACTGAGGTGGGCCGGTACCTCTGACAGCGGCTCCACGTGTGGTCGGCGTCCGCCGGCGTGGACCAGCGCAGGAACGGCGCGTCGTAGGTGGCATTGCTGGGGTCCTCGCACTCTTCCACCAGACACCTGTACAATGGAAGCACCGGGGGGGGGGGGGGGGAGTGTTGGGATTGGAATATATGGTCAATACCAAATTTAGGCATTCTGGTTTCATCGATAGAATGTGGAGAACACTGCGACGCTAAGACTTTTCCTAAAACATTTTACAATACATTTCGATACAGCATTGAACATAAACTGGCGCGGGCGTCGGTTTACCAGTTCAGTGCAGCGGTTCGGCAGTTCAGCGGGCGTCACCTGTGGTCGCTGATGTATCCCGTCCACGAGTAGCCGACAGTGACGGTGGCCGCGAAAATGGGCGTCAGGCAGGCCAGCAGGTAGACGGCCTTCTGGTAGCGGCCCCAGCCGTTGATCCTCTCCAAAACCTCCTCGACGTCCATCGTCGACTCTCGCTGACCACGTTATGGTATACTCCTGCAGACTGGTGCTGGGAGTGCGGCTGCAACCTCCCTACTGTCGTAAGGACAGCGGAGCAGGTAACGAGCGATGGTGATTAAATATGAATAAATGAATGAATGAATATTTCTAGCCCCGCAATAACTTCATGGCGACATTGAACGATTGCTAAAAAGCAGCCACGTTGTTCTACAAACATCCACTTAGGTACTACTCATAGCACAAACAATACCAGGCACATATTTTATAACATCCTTATCCTCTGTAATGTTAAATATCCTTATCGGATATTGTCTCTTAACCCGCGCACCGACGGGGGTCTGCGCCAACTTCGTACCGACGGGGGGGGGGGCGGATGACCGCCCCCCCCCTGAGATCTCGAGAACGAAGCAAGATAGCGACAAGCGGTAAACGGCATCGGGTACGCACGGACAAGGTCTACAATTTTTACAAAGTCATTTTCAGGTCAGGTCAAAGATGACGTCACAGTGGTCGAAAAAGTCAAAATGGCGGCGCTAGATAAGGAGAGAGTTTTTCTCGAATAACTTTCGAATTAGTCATAATAGGAACAAACTAAGGGCATCATCGTGATCCTCTCGTCAATCCGCATCGAATGATATATATGTTGACCTCGAAAGGTCAAGGTCAAAGGTTGACCTCAGGTCACGTGACCTCGAGGTCATCATGCATATCATTCGATGCGTCTTGACGAGCTGAACACAATGGAACCATCTGCGCGGCTGTATCTTGTTCCTGTACGGAGTTATTGGCAAAAAACCTTTGGTGACGTCACATGACCTTACAGCTGCCCAACAGCAAAACAGACCTCAAGGTAGTGAAGGTTGATCGTATATGAAGTCATGTATGGTAAATGGGGCCATTCCGACCCGTTTTAGTGGTAAAAACAGGAAGTTGATTTTTCCCCCATTGACTTATAATGGGGAGGTCGCGAAATTGACCTGACCTTAGGTCACCGACATCAAAATTCCGAGATACACAAATTGTAGCTACTAATGACCTAATAACATCCTGCGACTTTCAAAGGCCTCCGACATCTACTGTAGCTCTGGCACGGTGACAAAGTTGCAAAAAGTGACTTGAGGTTGGGTCATTCAAAGTGACCTGGTGACCTGACCTTCAAAGTTAGGAGATTTAAACTTGCACACCATGTGTAAAATTGATGAGAGAATAGTCGTACCAAATTTCGCGGCGCTACGCGCCGCGGTTTTCTCGCTATCCGCGAAAAACCTCAGGGGGGCGGATATCCGCCCCCCCGTCGGTGCGCGTGTTAAGAAATCATCAAAAATGAAGGAAATGAGCAGCATCCGTCAGAACCTAATCATAATAGCCATTTTCACGACGGTCTATCTGGCGATTGCACTTAGCCAGACCAAATCTAACCAAATTCGTTTTAGAGCAAATATCTTTACAGTTTGAAGTTATGTTAATGTTTTGATCGGAAAGTATGTCTGATGATTTAATAAATACGGTATATAAGCAACTATTCCAATTTTCTACCCATGCTGAAAATAACTATGAAGCACCCATGAACCCAATTTGACCAAATCGCATTAAATGTGACCAAATGTGTATCAGATAACCGTCGTGAAAACGGGTGAAGTCTGATAGCTTTTATATACGTAAAATAACCATTTTACTCGGAAATGTAAAACATATATAGACGCCAAAATCGATTGAAGTACATTACAAACTTATTCATAAGATCCTCACCTTCTCAATGAGTCTCCAGCAGCATAGGAGCATAACAATTTCGGCCAAATTGTCGAAACAAGCGATCAATCGTCTAGAAACACCGCGACGCTATATCACAAGGATTCACTGTCACATGATAGAGCCGAAAGCCACCTCAAACTGCTGGTCTTATCAAGGCATCTGCCACCTCTAGAGCATGGTCAATGGTCATGCTCATATGGTTTTATCAGCTACGTCACAAGGACGGCAGCTTACAGATACGGCCTGATACGATTGTGATGGATCAATAGTGTTTAGCTCTGCTAATACCTATGTACTTAATAATTGATTTACTTACGCGAAAGGTACTTCTATTGATTGCCTATTTTATAGTTCTATTGTATTGTTCTTGAACCGCAATCGTTCAATAGTAATGTTTAGATCAGTAATATAATATTACAATATCGCAATTGTACAACAGTGTGTACAATTCCCCTATATTGTACATTTTCAAATTTACCACAGCAAGAAATTATAAAACCCCTTCAATAACAAGGATTTTGTTCAAATACAAACGAGAAACAGAACGGGGACAAAGATGAAAGGGAGCGGAGAGAGCGGAAACGAAATAAAGAACGGAGCTGAAGCGGATATAGGAAAAGGACCAGGATAATAAAGGCCGGGTTCGGACAGAAAACGGACCGGAAATGGACTGAAGACGAACCGGAAACGGATCGGAAACGGAAAAAGGTGTGGGAAAGGATGTATGATAATGAGACCAATTCAAAGGTTGAGGCCACGTGTATCCTAGTGTTATGATTTCCGAGTTACCGATGGACTAACCTTTGAGTTGTTCTCGGTTTTGTCAAAAAAATGCCTGCCACACAGTAAGAGGCGAGCCCTGTACCTACTTATACAGCACACACTGACTGCATACACACATGACCTACAGCCGACCATTCATTCATCATACTTCTCGCGATAATATCGTAGGCTCCTATCCTATCTGCGGTTACGTCAAAGACATGGCCGAGAACGCCAAGTAGTGCCGCGCTGTTGACACAGCGTTTGGTCAGTGTTCTTCGGTTGACCGCCGTGGCGGGAGGCTCCTTGGCTGTTTAGGTGTAAGAGGATAGCATAGGTATAGCGCGGTTTGATATTGCACTGTCCATGGTCTTGGGCTTAATCAGGTAAGCGGCTTTCAAAAGGAACCGGGGCTGACGTATAGGTAAGCGTAACATCGTCAAAGTTGTAGAAAAAAAAACGATAGTCAAGGTATCCAAAATAAACGAAGGATTATGCATGCACCAAGGCATAACTGAAGTAAAAATCACAGCATATATTCAATCTTTCCGAAGAGGAAATGTTTTAAATATAAAAAGTTTTCTATATACCTAAGAAATAGGTACCTAAGAACGAACACAGGCACATGCATACATAATAGATACACGTTTGGCCGCATCTATCCATATACACGCATATTCATATGTACAAAGTGTATTTAGGCGTAAAGAAAACATGAGCAGTGTATATTCTGTTCCAACGACTCCCATGCCTACATATACCAGGCTGCTGGATATATCGAGCTGCTCGCCACGATGGACGTGGACGCCATTTTGGAGCGGATCGGCGGCTGGGGTCGCTACCAGAAGGTGTTGTACGTGCTGGCCGCCCTGCCTTCCATCGTCGGCGGCATGGTCACCTTGGCCTACTCGTGGACGGCCTTCTTCATGGAGCACAGGTGATGGCACGGTTGACATAACGCAGCCGACAGATAGGGCCCTGCGGTCACTCTGTGTATTTCATTTACATATATGCTCTGTAAAGTTCTGGTCATACTCCACACCTTTCAGTGAGATTAATTTGCTCACCAAAGCACAGTGTGTGCCGCTAACGAGATAGTAGTTAGTAGTTACGAAGGGTGCCAAAGTAATGAAATTCGATAAGAGTAAGAGTAATAAGAGTGGGAAACGGTTGTGATTCACCAGCCTAATCTTGCAAGCGTTTCGCGCTTATACATTTGAAATGCATTACTGTGAGACACATGCCGGCTCAAATATACTTATACGATCCAGTGCCTGCCTTTCAAACATATCACCCGCGCCGTGTCATGCATGATGCAGATGTCTGGTGGAAGAGTGCGAGGACCCCAGCAATGCCACCTACGACGCGCCGTTCCTGCGCTGGTCCACGCCGGCGGACGCCGACCACACGTGGAGCCGCTGTCAGAGGTACCGGCCCACTTCTGCCGGGGGCTGCACCAACACCAGCTTCTTCACCAACCAGACAGAGTCGTGCTCCCGCTGGGTGTACGACAAGTCCGTCATGGAGAGCACCGTGGTGTCCGAGGTGGGGCGTTAATGAAAAAAAAAACGATTCTCACCGCTGCAAAAACATAAATAAATCGTTGCAAGAAAGTACTGATCCAACGGGGTTGTTTCTTGCCGTTGACGTTTTTTCAGATGTGGTGCGTTTTCCGGATGTTCTTGGTCTTAGCTTTCTCAGAGCAGAAAACATCACGTCCTCTAGCTAATCAGGAATTTTATGTCTGGAAGCAGTATGCACCCTTACCACTAGCGCAGTTTATTTTAACCCTCGCCGGCACAGGGGGGGGGGGGTGATGCAACCCCCCCTAAGGTTTTTCGCGAATAACTCGCGTAAAAAGCGGCCGATCGTGACGAAACTTTCAGTACCCTTGCATTGATCAATTTTACACATACCCTGAAAATTTCATGACCCTGACCCAAATGACCTTTGACCTGTGACCTCTTTTCCGAGACCATGTTTGGCCGGAATCGCGATTCGGCATATGTCGGCTCGCATTAGCCGCGCGTTTGCAAGCTTTTCGTGGTTTCAAACGTTCAAACATGTGATTTAACCCGCGCCCCACTGGGGTCTGCGTATAACACGCCCTACTGGGGGGGGGGGGTCTTCATAGCCCCCTTCCTAACTCCGAAACTACTGGGCCGATCGTCAAAATTCAAACGGTGTCTGATAGCCCCGGAAAAACTGTCGAGCGAAACCTAATGTCATTGACCTCGAGGTCACCGATGACGTCACAGGTCAGGTCAAAGCAAAAATTATTAGCATTTTGGCTTGTTCACGTTTTGGGCTCTGGCCGCCGTCTTACAAGTCAGATCAGGCTCATTTTTGGTTCACACACTCGTGAACAGATGCTCTAGATACCCTGAGGGTACCAAACTTGTACTTTGATTTTCAGTTCAAGGTCAGGTCATCACAGGTCACCAAAATATTATATCATGCGTCGGTCACGTGACACATGTTTTATGGTCCATTTAGGCCAAAGATTTCGAATTTGATGTCGTCTGTTTCATTCGAGGTCATTCTGAGTCGAATGTAGCTTAGTTCAGGTCACTTTCAGATAAAAAAGGTCAAATTTTGAAGCTAAAATTTTTCAACAAAAAAGGTATCTATTGGATGCATTTTGAGCTCAGGAACACGATGGTGCTATTTGTATTGGCGTACGATGTCAAATACGTGCTGAAAAATTGATTTGAGAAATAAATAATTGTGAATTTTTTTTTGCAATAATGCGTATAACTTGGCCATTTTTGAATATATTTAGCTAAAACTTGCTAGAGTTAGTCATAATAATGCGTTCTATCACATATATTCCGTTTTTTTCTAAAAATCAAAAACTTTTTGAAAAAAAATGTAAAAATATAAATTTTGAATTTTATTATATTAAATTTTCGACATTTTCAAAATTTCGAAAATCCGAGATAGCAGTTTGATGGCGCAGTCTATTCAGAGTCCTCTCATGGAAAGAAATTGGATCTAGCTTAAAAACTGAGCTCTTGGGAGCGATTGCTGTGGTTCAATGTTTTGCGTCGAAATCGGTAGAACATGACGTCACTTTGACGTCATTTTCGGCCGATCTATGGTAGCTAAGACGTTCATATTTTGACACAAGGTGTCAAATTGATGCAGCCCAAGGTACTGAAAGTTTGGCGTCGATACGTCAAGCGGTTTGGAAGTTATTGCAGAAAAACGGGAGGGGGGCTATGAATAGCCCCCCCCCCCCCACCCAGTGGGGCGCGGGTTAATGTTGCTTCCATACATTAGGGTGGGTGTCAAGGTCACCTGAAGGTCAGGTCAGGTCATTGACCTTTGGTGACCTCGGGTAACCTCGGCTCACTGTTTCGAGTTTTACATGTTTTTAGGCTAGTTTTTGGAGCTGAATTCGAATTTAGCAACCATTTGAACATTTACGAAGTAGTTTTGGTGCCTTCGTAACATGTTACGAAGCTGTCAGAGGCGGTTGACACGTATTACGAATACCCGTCACAACCCCTACCGGTTGACCTGACCTGACCTGACCCGACCTGGTCTAAATGCTTAAAGACATCATCTCTGATCAAAACTAACACGATATTCGTGATCAGCACCCCGGAAAACCACATAGCAGCCACACTTTACGACTTTCTAACAGGTCCCGATTTTCCCGGTTTTCGGGTCATTGACCTGACCTGGAAGGTCACCCGATGACCTAGGACCTTAAAATTTGGTATCATCGGCTTCCTCTCGTGACGGACAACACGCTTGTTTTTTCCGCGAAGCTCTAGCTCGATCAGGGGCCAAACGCGAGGGGGGTCGTACCAACCCCCCCCCCCCCCCTTGTGCCGTCGAAGGACGCAAAATGGCCTGTGCCGGCGAGGGTTAATGATCTCAGAGTGTCATTTGCATCTTATCTACAAAACTACGTTATTGTGTTTTCAGTTTAACTTGGTCTGTGACCGTGAAACCCTGTGGCCGCTGGAAAACAGCCTTTACTTTGTCGGCGTGGCCGTTGGCTCGGTGCTGGGTGGTGCGCTCGCTGACCGGTGAGTTCTCTTTTATTCTGCATCATATCTTATCTCCTCAATGAGCCACTGTTGACCAGTGAGCATCATTGAGCTCTCAGTGAAACCAAAATCCCATCGCTTACTGCAAAGTGTTATAAGTATCGCCCACTGAACTTGTACATTACGCACATTGCACAATGTACTTGCATTACAATCTGTAGGCACATATCAGCGCAGCATGCTTAGTTGTTGAGCCGTTGCCACAACTGTCGTTGAACTTCCTGTTTCACGTCTGATAGGAAGGTATCCAGCTGAGATTGAGTACCAAAATATTGCGACATCCGTTGGATATACACTGATGGGCCATGGGGATAGATACGGACGCATTCCGGTAAT